GTGGAGACCATGTAAGAAAAGCATCCAACTACTCAGAAAGGCTTGTTCTCTGCACTCACTATTCCACATTCCACACTCAGTGTCAAACCTTCCAGCAACCCTATGGGAATGAGACAGCTCACAAATGCCTCTCAGAAGTAAAGATGAATGTGGTTCATTATGGGATTTGCACAAGCAGAAGCCCGGCCAGAACCATGTTTCAGAGGTAGGAGCAGCACAGTGCTGTCAGGGTAAATCCAAACAGGAAATAAACACAATGGACTCAGCTACAGTTTGGACAAGGGTCTTCTGAAGGCCCGGATGTTAAAGGTCCAGCCCCCAAACCACACTACAAACGTTGGCTGCAATGGTAAGAGGTGGGACCTACTGGGAAAAAGCGAGGTCATTAAGGACATGGTTACAAATAATACAGCTGGATTCCATCTTTTTCTCTTCCTGGCCATGATATGCTGCCCCAGCACAGGCCCACAATAAAAGAACCACTGATTTGTGGATTAGAACCTCTGAAACTGTGAGCCAGAAATCTCCTTTCCTCCCTTTAGGTTGATTATCTCAAGCAATTCCCAGGAACAAAATGTCTTCTAACACAGATTCCTTGTCTAGTAGATATGAGCTAACTATGATCTTAAGATATAATATTAACATAGTATCAGTTATGACTGGCTAATGCATATCTCATACAAAAGAAAATGGTTAAAGTTGCACGTATTAGCATCATTCCATACCACAACTCAGCATGAAGCAGGTAAATAGCGAAAGCCTAGCAGACAAAAGCAATGTCTGACACGTAAAGGATGCAAAGTGTAATCACTGATACGTAGAAAGATTCTTCCGGGAATGAGGAAATATGTCCAAAGTAGATTTGGTGATAACATCATCATTCTGTGACTGTGTTTAAAACCACCAGCCTGCACCAGAGGAATGGAGGGCTGTGTGTGTTGTGTGTCTAAAAGGCTGTTACTTCTCACAACAGAAGCAATGTGTAAATTATCAACGTTGTCAAACATTTCTTTGAGACTAAGACATGCCTGTTGGGTGTATGCATCACTTCGCTTCAGATTAAATAAACATAAAAACTCCCATTTTAGTCCACTGATGGGGGGTGGGGTCCTCCTCTCCTTGTATCTGACCGTAGCATAGAAGGTCTCATCAGAATTGTCTGGATTCTCTTTCTTGTGGCCACCTTGCCAGGGGGAGGTGAACAAAGAGCAGGCTACTGAATCCATGTCAGAGACTGTCCCTACTCCCCTTAATAGGGAATGCACTTGGAGACTGAGCTGTCCATGGGCTATATCTGAGCAGAGGGTCTAGGTCCTCTCCATGCATGGTCTATGGTTGATTCATCAGTCTCTGCAGACTCCCCTGGGCCCAGATTTTTTTGGCTCTGTTGGTCTCCTTGTGGAGATCCTGTCCCCTCCAGGTCTTTTTATTTCTGCCTATGTTCATAAGATACCCTGCAGAGGGACATAGTGGGGAAAGAGGGAGGGGGCAAAACTGGGAAGAGATGGGGAAGGTAGCTACAGCCAGGATACAAAGTAAATAAATTGTAATAAATTATATATTTAAAAAAAAAAACAGAAGCCATAATGTATATCAAAAGAACTTGTAAAGTTTTAAAAAAAACACATTTCTGGAAAAAAAAAACAAAACAATGCCATTGAGTTTGTTTTCTGTTGGCCATCTACAGCTGGACATGGAGCCTGCCCTTAAGAGTGGTTTGAATCCCCAGTGAGACTCTATTAAAGAAAATAACATAAATGGCACAGGCTATAAGATCAACAATAAATAAATGGGACTTCATGAAACTGAAAAGCTTCTGTAAAGCAAAGGACACTGTCTTCAGAACTAACAAACAGCCTACAGATTGGGAAAGGATCTTCACCAACCCTATATCTGACAAAGGGCTAATATCCAGAATAAAGAACTCAAGAAGTTAAACAGCAACGAATCAAGTAATCCAATTAAAAAATGAGGTACAGCGCTAAGCAGAGAATTCTCAAAAGAGGAATATCGAATGGCAGTCAAACACTTAAAGAAATATTCAAAATTCTTAGTCATCAAGAATATTCAAACAAAACGACCCTGAGATTTAACCTTACACCCATCAGAATGGCTAAGATCAAAAACTTAAGTGACAACACATGCTGGAGAGGATGTGGAGAAAGGGGAACCCTCCTCCATTGCTGGTGGGAATGTAATCTTGTACAACCACTTTGGAAATCAATCTGGCGCTTTCTCAGACAATTAGGAATAGTGCTTCCTCAAGATCCAGCTATAACACTCCTAGGCATATATCCAAAAGATGCTCAAGTATACAACAAGGATATTTGCTCAACCATGTTTATAGTAGCTCTATTCATAATAGCCAGAATCTGGAAACAAGCCAGATGACCCTCAATTGAGGAATGGATGCAGAAATTGTGATACATTTACACAATAGAATACTACTCAGCAATTAAAAACAAGGAAATCATGAAATTTGCAGGCAAATGGTAGGAACTAGAAAAGATCATCCTGAGTGAAGTATCATAGAAGCAGAAAGACACACATGGTATATACTCGCTTATAAGTGTATATTAGACATATAATATAGGATAAACATACTAAAATCTGTACACCTAAAGAAAGGAAGTGAGAAGGAGACCTGGAGTAAGATGATTAATCCTCATTCAGAAAGGCAAATGGAATAGACATCAGAAGAGGGAGAAAACAGGGACCAGGACAGGAGCCTACCACAGAAGACCTCTGAAAGTCTCTACCCAGCAGGGTTTTTAATCAGATGCTGAGACGCATACCCAAACTTTGGGCAGAGTACAGGGACTCTTATGAAAGAGGGGGGAGATAGAAAGACCTGGAAGGGATAGGAGCTCCACAAGGAAAGCAACAGAACCAAAAAATCTGGGCACAGGAGACATTTGTGAGACTGATACTCCAACCAAGGACCATTCATGGAGATAACCTAGAACCTCTGCTTAGATGAAGCCCATGGACAGCTCAGTCTCCAAGTGCATTCCCTATTAAGGAGAGTAGGGACAGTCTCTGACATGGATTCAGTGGCCTGCTCTTTGTTCACCTCCCCCTGGCAACGTGGCCAAGAGGATTCCCTAGTAATGAAAACAGGGACTGTCTCAGACATGAACTCAGGAGTTGGCTCTTTGATCACCTCCACCTGAGGAGGGGGCAGCCTTACCAGTCCACAGAGGAAGACAATGAAGCCAATCCTAATGAGACCTGATAGACTAGGGTCAGATGGAAGGGGAGGAGGACCTCCCTATCATTGGACTTGGGGAGGAACATAGAAGAGGGAGGAAGGGTGGGATTAGGAGGGGATGAGGAAGGAGGCTACAGCTGGAATGCAAAGTGAATAAACCATAATCAATAAAAATAAAATAAAATTTAAAAAATCAAATAAATAATATAAAAATAAAAAACTCCAATCTTTAAAAAGATGTTTTTTTTCAAATCAGTTTAATTCATCACCAAAGCTATTAAGCAAATTAATTTAATACTCAGGTTAATTAAATATCAGTAGATTACTTAATTCATTAGATTAATACTCACAGGCTTATTTTGATTTTATAATAGTTTTACTAAAAATATCAGAAGGACTGCCAGCTGCAGAGCTCCAGCCTCGACCCGTCGCCCAGCCAAACTGCTGTGTCACTGAGCACTGTTCTATGGTTAATAAAATTATATAGAAAATAAAAATATCAGAAGGGTTACTACATGTGGGATTCTTAATTACTGAGGATCCTTTAGGCATCATACCGAGACCACAAATTATATGAGAGAATCCATTCTTTAGAGTGCAATATTGGATTTTACCGTGAATGGCAAAACACCACTAATAGTGCTTAGACAGTGGGAGCTTTCTGAATGACAATCATAGGTGTTAGATCTTAAGCCAGCTAACTTCTTTAGGCATATGCTGGGTGTCCATCCTTCATGACCAGCTTGCACATCATTAGATCCCATTCTTCCCTGAACAATCTAAGTTCTTCCTTCCTCTCTCATGTGTGTCACTGTCCTATTTTTTTTTTCTGGATTTTCTTTTGAACACATTAATTTGAGAGAAAATTTGTAACAGACTATTCATTAATCCTTAAAACAGTGAGAAAGAATGTTTCCGTTTACAGCACGCTAGGCCTTCCTTTAGTAAAAGACACATCCCTGCAAATCAAAGCCCAATGCAGTTACTGCAGCAGCGACTGGGAGACTGGAACCACAGAGCTAGAAGATCACTTCCACCTGATAAATAAAGACAGGTAATACTTTATGATGTCTAATCTACAAGGAAGATGCTTATAGCTGTTACTGCTCAGAAGTCACTCCTCTTTCAATAGGCATGGATGTTTTGAAAATGGGAAAGCCATCAGATCACACAGAGTCCACATTAAGTCAAGTGTTTGTAACAGACATTCATTAGAAATTCCAGACACTCAAATCGCACCTTCCTGTACCCAATTCTAAGACATCAAATATAAAACTAAAAAACATGTTTTTCTTACATTCATCATCTAGATTTGAGTCAGAAAAATCACACTCTTAAAAATTACATGTAAGGGAAAAATATGTATGAAGCTATATTTTTTAGAAAGGAGACTAACTAAATCAGTATCTACCATTTTCATCTATCATCCATTTCTCTTTTACCTGTGTTATCTTTCATTTATCTGTCATTTATTTATGTGTTATCTATTATCTGTCTATATAGATATAATCTATCCTTCACCAATAATCTTTGCATTTGTATGCATATAGGGCTAGAGTGGCATGTATTTGCTTCAGAATATTAACTATTTGCATTAACATTATTTTATTAAAGATTGAAACTCTGGGAAAACAAGACTAAAATGTGACTTATTTCACATAAATAAAAATGAAGATCTTAAACCTAACACACAATTATTTTAAACATATTAAGGAGTTCAAAGGCTTTTCTCTCGTTCTCGATTTATAGTTTTGGCACGCTATCCCTCTGGCCACTTGGGACTTATTACCTTTGTTGCTGCATCAAAGCAGATGAAGCCTGTGCTGAAGTCAATAGTGAGTCCCATTAGGTGACTCTCCAGCACACATGCATAAGTCTTGCACTATAGAAAACAGAGAATACTGTTAGTTTGCACATAGTTGATTGAACCTAAACATCAAGACAAATATGACATGTCCTGTCTATTAATGGCACACTTAGTAGTTGACTGTGGTGTGCCTCGATAGTACAATACAATCCTAACACGAATAAGCCCCGGGATTTGATCACTAACATTATAATTTCACTTTTAAATATTTTGGGGGGGGGGAAGATGGATAAATACAGATACCAAAGTAGAAAAATAACATAAATCAGATATGAAATAAGTTGGGCCTTACATACAAACCACATATTGTTATATCTGCTTGTTTAGTTTTATTTGACTTTGATTCCAAACCACGTTGCTATATTGTAGCAATCAAAGATATAAACTATATAACTGACACGTGAGAGAGCTATTTTCTTCAGCAATTTTCAAATACAAGTGCTTATATTGCATCTGTCTTATTATATTTATATAAAATACATTGTTTACAAAATAATTATGACTGAACATATCAAATTGCTTTTATTAGAATGTTATATTCACATGATTACAGCCTAATTTGCATTAAAAATTTATAACCATGACAAAAAGTTTATTTGCAGTTAAAATAGTAGATTAGAAGGCATACTTAATGGACCTTAAAACTCCATGTTTCTGTAGAATTGTATTAGCTTAATACATAGAAATCTTAGATAGCTGTATTCGGCCACTAATTTACGAAAATTACAATCAACTCTAAGGAGTGTTCAAGGTTACATTGTTTGCATTTAGGCTTAATTGTTTGCTATTTCTGTGTACAACCATTAAAAAGAAGATTCCAGGTGAAAATGCATTTGTAATAGCACATTCAAATTTTCTCATTAGGTTCAATATTACAAATTAAATTACATTGACTCAATAATCATTAAATGGAAGCAAATAAATGGAATAAATTGAAAGCCACTAAATTTTTATCCTTTAACTTACAATGTCAATAAATGTAATGAGTGCATTTAATATGTTTAAGTAATTAAATGTTTATTTTTAATCACAATATTTGTGAAATAAAAAGTGAATTTCAGTGTGAAAAAAGTAATAGCCAAAATTATTGTTTTAGGAAAGCTCTAAAATGAATCACTTGGCAACATTTTTGTATAATTACATATTATATAACATCCATAGGTAAATATATATAGGATAAATTTGTACCACCAGAAAAAATCAAGTATAGAAAGAAAGGAAGGCTTCCATATCCTGGTGCTTGTTCTTTGAATCCATATCGATCTTACCACTTATGAAAGTGGACACCACAAAGGAAAGTAAGTAATTTTACTTTACTTATGCTAATTTCTTTTTTTTTCTTTTTTTTTAAATCTTTTATTTTTTTTATTAATTACACTTTATTCATTTTGTATCCCCCCATGAGCCCCTCTCTCCTCCCCTGCCGATCCCACCCTCCCTCCCCTTTCTGCATGCATGCCACTCCCCAAGTCCACTGATAGGGGAGGTCCTCCTCTCCTTCTTTCTGATCTTAGTCTATCAGTTCTCATCAAAAGTGGCTGCATTGTCCTCTACTGTGGCCTGGTAAGGCTGCTCCCCCCTCAGGGGGAAGTGATCAACGAGCAGGCCAATCAGATTATGTCAGAGGCAGTCCCTCTTCCCATTACTATGGAACCCACTTGGACACTGAACTGCCATGGGCTACATCTGTGCAGGGGTTCCAGGTCATCTCCACAAATAGTCCTTGGTTGGAGTATGAGTCTCTGGGAAGTTCCCTGTGTTCAAATTATCTTGTTCTGTTGCTCTGCTTGTGGAGTTCCCGTTCCCTCCAGCTCTTACTATTTCCCACTTCTTACATAAAATTCCATTCACTCTGCCCATCAGTTGGCCATCAGGCTCAGCATCTGCTTTGACAGTCTATACTGCAGAAGCTTTCAGAGGCCCTCTGTGGCAGGTTTCAAGGTTGTTTCCTGTTTTCTTCTGGCTTTCAGAGGCCCTCTGTAGCGGGTTCCGAGGTTGTTTCCTATTTTCGTTTTCTTCTGATGTCCATCCTCTTTGCCTTTCAGGATGGGGATTGAACATTTTAGTTAGGGTCCTCTCTTTTGCTTAGTTTGTTTAGATGTACAGATTTTAGTGGGTTTATTCTATATTGTATGTTTATATGAGTGAGTATGTACCGTGAGTGTCTTTTTGCTTCTGGGTCAACTCACTCAGGATGATCCTTTCCAGGTCCCACCATTTACCTGCAAATTTCATGATTTCCTTATTTTTCATTGCTGAGTAATACTCCATTGTATAGATGTACCACAGTTTCTGCATCCATTCTTCAGTTGAGGGGCATCTGGGTTGTTTCCAGCTTCTGGCTATTACAAAGAAAGCTGCTACAAACATGGTTGAACAAATGTCCTTGTTGTGTACTTGTGCCTCTTTTGGGTATATGCCTAGGAGTGGTATGGCTGGATCTTGAGGAAGCACTATTCCTAGTTGTCTGAGAAAGCACCAGATTGATTTCCAGAGTGGTTGTACCAGTTTACATTCCCACCAGCAGTGGAGAAGGGTTCCCCTTTCTCCACAACCTCTCCAGCATGTGTTGTCCCTTGAGATTTTCATCTTGGCCATTCTGATGGGTGTAAGGTGAAATCTCAGGGTTGTTTTGATTTGCATTTCCCTAATGGCTAATGAGGTTGAGCATTTCTTTAAGTGCTTCTCTGCCATTCGATATTCCTCTGCAGAGAATTCTCTCTTTAGCTCTGTTCCCCATTTTTTAAGTGGATTACTTGGTTTGTTGCTTTTCAGCTTGTTTAGTTCTTTATATATATTGGATATGAGTCTTCTGTCAGATAGAGGGTTGGTGATGATTCTTTCCCAATCTGTAGGCAGTCGCTTTGTTTTGATGACGGTGTCCTTTGCTTTACAGAAGCTTTTCAATTTCATGAGGTCCCATTTATTGATTGTTGCTCTTAGAGCCTGTGCTGTTGGTGTTCTGTTCAGGAAGTTTTCTCCTGTACCAATGAGTTCTAGGGTATTCCCCACTTTTTTTTCTAGCCGATTTAATGTGTCTGGTTTTATGTTGAGGTCTTTGATCCACTTGGACTTCAGTTTTGTGCAGGGTGATAAGTATGGATCTATTTGCATTTTTCTACATGTAGACATCCAGTTGGACCAGCACCATTTGTTAAAGATGCTATCTTTTTTCCATTGTATGGTTTTGGCATCTTTGTCAAAAATCAGGTGTCCGTAAGTGTGTGGGTTTATTTCTGGGTCTTCTGTTCGATTCCATTGATCCACCATTCTGTTTCCATGCCAGTACCATGCAGTTTTTATAACTGTTGCTCTATAGTACAGCTTGAGATCAGGGATGGAGATACCTCCAGAAGATCTTTTATTGTAGAGGATTGTTTTAGCAATTCTCGGTTTCTTGTTATTCCATACGAAGTTGAGAATTCTTCTTTCCAGGTCTGTAAAGAATTGTGTTGGCAATTTGATGGGAATTGCATTAAATCTGTAGATTGCTTTTGGTAAGATGGCCATTTTTACTATGTTAATCCTGCCAAGCCATGAGCATGGGAGATCTTTCCATCTTCTCATATCTTCCTCTAATTCTTTCTTCAGAGACTTGAAATTTTTTTCATACAAGTCTTTGACTTGCTTGGTTAGGGTTACGCCAAGGTACTTTATGTCATTTGTGGCTATTGTGAATGGTGTTGTTTCTCTAATTTCTTTCTCAGCCCTTTTGTCTTTTGTATACAGGAGTGCTACTGATTTTTTTGAGTTAATTTTATATCCGGCCACTTTGCTGAAGGTGTTTATCAGCTGTAGGAGTTCCCTGGTAGAGTTTTTGGGGTCACTCATATATACTATCATATCATCTGCAAATAGTGATAATTTGACTTCTTCTTTTCCCATCTGTATCCCCTTGATCTCCTTCGACTGTCTTATTGCTCTAGCAAGGACTTCCAGCACTATGTTGAAGAGATATGGAGACAGCCTTGTCTTGTCCCTGATTTCAGAGGGATTGCTTTAAGTTTCTCTCTGTTCAGTTTGATGTTGGCTATAGGCTTGCTGTATATCGCCTTTACTATGTTTAGATATGTGCCTTGTATCCCTGATCTCTCCAGTACTTTAAACATGAATGGATGTTGGATTTTGTCAAATGCTTTTTCAGCATCTAGGGAGATTATCATGTGGTTTTTTTCTTTCAGTTTGTTAATATGGTGGATCACATTGATGGATTTCCGTATATTGAACCACCCCTGCATACCTGGGATGAAGCCTACTTGGTCATAGTGGATAATATCTTTGATGTGTTCTTGGATCCGGTTTGCAAGTATTTTGTTAAGTATTTTTGCATCAATGTTCATAAGGGAGATTGGCCTGAAATTCTCTTTCTTTGTTGAGTCTTTGTGAGGTTTAGGTACCAAGGTGATTGTGGCTAAAGGAAAAAATAATGAAGAAACTAAAAGTATCAGAGTGCAATGGATAAGACATAGAATGGCTATTCTGCAAGAACCCATGCAGTTTTAATTACTGTTGCTGTATAGTACAGCTTGCGATCAGAGATTGAGTTACCACTAGATCTTATATTGTAGAGGAGTGTTTTAGCAATTCTGGGTTTCTTGTTATTCCATATGAAGTTGTGAATTTTTCTTTCAAGGTCTGTAAAGAATTGTGTTGGTCATTTGATGGGAATTGCATTGAATCTGTAGATTGCTTTTGGTAAGATGGCCATTTTTACTATGTTAATCATGCCAAGCCATGAGCATGGGAGATTTTTCTATCTTCTGATATCTTCTTCTAATTCTTTCTTCAGAGACTTGAATTTTTTTTTCATACAAGTCTTTGACTTGCTTGGTTAGGGTTACACCAAGGTACTTTATGTCTTTTGTGGCTATTGTGAAGGGTGTTGTTTCCCTAATTACTTTCTCAACCCTTTTGTGTTTTGTACACAGGAGGGCTACTAATTTTTTTGTTTTTAGTTATTTTTGTATCCTGCCACTTTGCTGAAGGTGTTTATCAGCTGTAGGAGTTCCCTAGTAGAATTTTGGGGGTCACTCAGGTATACGATCATATCATCTGCAAATAGTGATACTTTGACTTCTTCCTTCCTGATTTGTATCCCCTTGATCTCCTTCAATTGTCTTATTGCTCTAGCAAGGACTTCCAGAACTATGGTGAAGAGATATGGAGAGAGTGGGCAGCCTTGCTTTGTCACTGATTTCAGTGGGATTACTTTAAGTTTCTCTCCATTTAGTTTGATGTTGGTTATAGGCTTGCTGTATATTGTCTTTACTATGTTTAGATACGTGCCTTGTATCCCTGATCTCTCCAACACTTTAAATATTAATGGATGTTGGATTTTGTCGAATGCTTTTTTCAGCATCTAGGGAGATTATCATGTGGTTTTTTCTTTCAGTTTGTTAATATGGTGGATCACATTGATGGATTTCCGTATATTGAACCAACCCTGCATACCTGGGTTGAAACTTGGTCATATTGGATGATATCTTTGATGTGTTCTTGTATTCGGTTTGCAAGTATTTTGTAGAGTATTTTTGCAACAGTGTTCATAAGGGAAATTGGCCTGAAATTCTCTTTCTTTGTTGGGTCTTTGTGAGGTTTAGGTACCAAGATGACTGTGGCTTCATAGAATGAGTTTGGTAGTGTTCCTTCCATTTCTATTTTGTGGAAAAGTTTGAAGAGAATGCTGGCTTAGAAACAGAACGGTGGATCAATGGAACTGAATAGAAAAACCAGAAATAAACCCACAAACTTATGGACACTTGATCTTTGACAAAAATGCCAAAACCATACAATGGATAAAAAGATAGCATCTTCAACAAATGGTGCTGATCTAACTGGATGTCTACATGTAGAAAAATGTAAATAGATCCATACTTATCACCCTGCAAGAAACTAAAGCCCAAGTGGATCAAAGACCTCAACATAAAACCAGATACATTAAATCAGTTAGAAGAAAAAGTGGGGAAGACCATAGAACTTATTTGTACAGGAGATAACTTCTTGAACAGAACACCAACAGCACAGGCTCTAAGAGCAACATTCAATAAATGGGACCTCACCAAACTTAAATGCTTCTGCAAAGCAAAGGACACTGTCATCAAAACAAAACGACTGCCTACAGATTGGGAAAGAATCTTCACCAACCCTTTATCTGACTGAGGGCTAATATCCAGTAAATATAAAGAATTAAAGAAGTTGAAAAGCAGCAAATCAAGTAATCCAATTAAAAAATGGGGAACAGAGCTAAACAGAGAATTCTTGATAGAGGAATATCAAATGGCAGAGAAACACTTAAAGAAATGCCCATCATGGAATATGCCATCAGGGAAATGCTAATCAAAACAACCCTGAGATTTCACCTTACACCCATCAGAATGGCTAAGATCAAAACCTCAAGTGACAACACATTTTGGAGAGGTTGTGGAGAAATGGGAATTCTCATCCACTGCTGGTGGGAATGTAAACTTGTACAACCACTCTGGAAATCAATCTGGTGCTTTCTCAGACAACTAGGAATAGGGCTTCCTCAAGATCCAGCTATACCACTCCTAGGCATATATCCAAAATAGGCTCAAGTACACAATAAGGACATTTGCTCAACCATGTTTGTAGCAGCTTTATTTGTAATAGCCAGAAGCTGAAAGCAACCCAGATGCCCCTCAACTGAAGAAGGGATACAGAAATTGTGGTACATCTATACAATGGAGTATTACTCAGCAATGAAAAATAAGGAAATCATGAAATTTGCAGGTAAATGGTGGGCTCTGGAAAGGATCATCCTGAGTGAGCAATTCCAGAAGCAGAAAGACCACAGGGTATATACTCACTTATATAGACATATAACATAGTATAAACCTACTAAAATATGTATATCTAAAGAAACTAATCAAGAGGGAGGATTCTGGCTAAAATGCTCAGTCCCTATCCAGAAAGGCAAAGAGGATGGACATCAGAAGTAGAAGAAAACAGGAAACAAGTCAGGAGCCTGCTACAGAGGACCTCTGAAAGGCTCTGCCCTGCAGACTATCAAAGCAAATGTTGAGACTTAAGGCCAAACTTTGGGCAGAGTACAGGGAATCTTATGAAAGAAGTGGGAAATAGTAAGATCTAGAGAGGACAGGAGGTCCATAAGGAGAGCAAAAGAACCAGAAAATTTGAACACAGGGGTCCTTCCTGAGACTCATACTCCAACCAAGTACCATGCATAGAGATAACCTAGAACCCCTGCATAGATGCAGCCCATAGCAGTTTAGTGTCCAAGTGGGTTCCATAGTAATGGGGATAGGGACTGCTTCTGACATGAACTGATTGGCCTGCTCTTTGTTCATCTCCCCATGAGGGGGGAGCAGCCTTACCAAACCACAGAGGAAGACAATGCAGCCACTCCTGATGAGACCTAAAGACTAGGATCAGAGGGAAGAAAAAGAAACCCTTCCCCTAGCAGTGGACTTTGGGAGGGTAGTGTGTGGAGAAGGGGGAGGAAGGGAGATATTGTGAGGGGAGGAGGGAGGGAACTAGAGGGGGGATACAAAGTAAATAAAGTGTAATTACAAATAAAATGAAATTAAAAAAAAAGAATAGACAGCCCTACAAAGTCCTACATAATCTTAAATTTGAAATTCTAAAATTAAAAAAAAACTTTATAAGAAACAACTTAAAAAAAGATAATTGTTGACCAGGATTATTATACAGTTATGAAGCAAATGTGTCCTTTACTACTAAAATTCACTGACCTGGGAAAATTATAAAGTCAGTAAAGTTAGCTTAAGTAATTACACCTTGTATTATTTCCTTCAACTTAGGAAGTGTAACATTTTATTTACATAAGTTGTGACTTTTATGTTTCAATATTCACTACACTTTTTAAAGTTTGATTGTAAATTGAATGACAATATGAAATGTACTCAAGTATGTGTTTTTATGGATCAGCCTTTCAAATAAATATACTAGTATTTATACTGTTTGCCATAGGTTCAAAACAAAATATAAAATACTAAATATATTTGAAAGCAGAAAACATGACTTTGTAGTCCTTGTATCTCAAAATAAAAACAATTGTATTTATGATTTCTTCAATAGTATTAATCAAGTTATAACTTTTCTCCTTTCTTGCTTATTTTTCATTAGGTCATGTTTTTCTATTTATTTTATTTTGTTATGTTGAGAGAGGATCTCCTGTGGACCCAAATTGCCTTATACTGCTTAGAATGACACTCAATTTCTTTCCCGGTCTTTGTCTCACGATTCCTGGGATGTAGGCATGCAATGCCAGGCCCATTTCTTTAATTTTTACCAATTTTAATGAAACAGATGTTCGTTATGTAAAAATTAAACAATATTATTCCTGTTAATATGCTCACATTTTCAAACACAAAAATGGACATCCAAACTTTTCAACAAATTTTAGCCCTTTCTAATGTAGTTAACAGGGAAAAATTATGAAATGTGAGACAACCCAAAAGTTGAAAAGAAACAAATGTTTTCCTTTTATATCATTCATCACATATTTTTCAACAAATGAGCACCCTTGCATGTTGGTCCTTGATCAATGGATTTATTTCAAGGGACAAGAATTTAATTAACATCAAATTTTGCATTATCTTGCTCCGGGTCAACTACAGAACCAACTCTGTGAGGTGTTTCATTCCAAGTTCCCACGTGTTCAAGAGGTGGAGAGCTCTATGAAGTCCATTCAACATATGTATTTATACTTGTACAATTCAATAAATACCCATTGGACACTTGTGATTTGCAAAAATGTATTAGACTTCAACCCATACAGGAATAAAATAAGCAAGCTTCTAGCAACAAGTTTGTCCCGTGTTATTCTGTAAGCCGTCCAAAGAAAATGATGAAGAAAGGTGATATGGTGTGCTAGAGTGGGAAGAGACAAGGGTGAGCACAGTTGCTGTGGAAGGCGTCTGGTAGGCGGTGTTTGAAATCAAGAGGATGCCCATGGATGAAGTGGCCGTTGAGAGCCTCACATACTAGAAGTGGTTATGCAAGGCACAAATGAAGGGTGGATTTCTAGAACTTAGGTAGTCAAGTCTGCAGAATAGTTCACTAGTAAGTAGCGAACTATGGCCACAGCATTTTCTATATAAGACTCAAACTCTGCTAATATTTAATAGGAAGTAGTCTACATGAGGCAAAAGTATGAAAAGAACTTCAATGCTTATTCAGATATGCCTGGTTATTATTCATTTCAGCAATGGTTAAACACTGGCTGCATCTGAGACGGAGGGCTCCCTCACGAAACTGTGCTCCTAACCTCAGACACGTCCAATGAGTGGTTACATCTCCCCGGTGTCACACATACTGCGCTCCACAGCCTCTCACCTGTATCCGCTCCACTTCCAGGAAGGTGGCTGTTTGGAAGGCTCGTTCCCATTGGGCAAGGTCACTCTCCAACTCCACAGAAAAGTAGAGGTCCTCCCCACACTCAGACTGCATAGTGAAGCAATGTTTCCGTCGATCCAGCAGATCACTGTCCTGATGAAAACCTGGAGTTACACAGGCTGGCATACATCAATTCATACTCAGCACAGCAAGTCTGCCAACGATGCTTGAAACAATGTGTAGATGCCACAATACAGATACAATTTGTGATCGTCATTGAGTCTCAATTCAGAATTGTCACTGCAGCCAAGTTGCAGAGTCCACACCTAACATACCAGTTCCTTTTGTAACTACTGATGCCCATTCACCAAAAGGGACTCAAGTTTCAGTTCTTAGCTCAGCACTGAACACACAAAAATCTCTCTCTGATTGCAAAACGGCCTGCTGCACAACCCCCTGACTTCCTTACAAGACTGTATCAACATGGAAATGAGGATATTGCTATCATTCATAGGCAACAGAGATCTCTACTGAGATGATTTTAAAATTACTTAGAAATTATGCACCTATGGAAAATTTCAAAAACTCGAGTCTAATTTGCACCAATTACACTGTACTGTATTCTCCCCAAGTTAAATATTTTATTTATGTTTATAGTTTTATTTCATTGTGTCAAAAGATTTTGCTCCTATCCTTTTTTTTTTTGCTTTGTTTCAAGCTTTTTTTGAATTAATTTTTTTTTATTTTTTAATATTAGTTACAGTTTATTAACTTTGTATCCTAGCTGTATCCCATTCCCTCATTCTCTCCTAATCCCATCCTTTCTCCCTCTTCTTCTCTCTGCCCCTTTCCAAGTCTACTGATAGGGGAGAACCTCCTTCCCTTCCATCTGACCCTAGCTTATCAGGTATATTCAGGCCTGGCTGCAAAGTTCTCCTCTGTGGCTTAGCAGGGCTGCTCCTCCCTTAGGTGGGGGGGGGGGGTGTCAAAGATCCCACCATTGAATTCATGTCAGAATTAGTCCCTTTTCCCCTTACTAGGTTACCCACATGGATAGTGAGCTACCATGGGCTACATCCGAGCAGGGGTTCTAGTGTAAATCCATACATGATCCTTGGTTGGAGATACACTCTCACAAAAGTCCCCTGTGCCCAGATATATTTGGTCCTTGTGGAGCTCCTGTCCTCTCCAGGTCATACTAACTCCCCCTTCTTTCATATGATTCCCTGTACTCTGCTGAAGGTTTGTTTATGAGTCTCAGTATCTGCTTTGATACACTGCTTGGTAGAGACTTTCAAGGTCCTCTGTGGTAGGTGTCTGTCCTGTTACTTGTTTTCTCCTATATCCAATGCCCATCACATTTGTCTTTCTAAGTGAGGGTTTATCATCTTACCCATGGTCTTCTTTCTTGTTTATCTTCTTTAGGTGTACAGATTTCAGTATGTTTATCCTATCTTATAGGTCTAGTACCCACTTATAAGTGAGTAAATACCATGTATGTCTTTCTCCTTCTGGGAAACCTCACTCAAGTTTTTCACTAAGGTTTTTTACCTAGCCCAACACATTTATATTCCAATGCACTTTCCAAGTTCAGAGATGTAATATGCGAAAAAAGTACAGTGACACAGTAGAGTAACAGGACTACCAGCCGTACAACTTTCTAAGAAACACAATTTGCAATATGTATTTAGTGTAGGGAAAATTGACAAAAGGCTAATCATTGGCATCATATTCTTTGATGATAGAATGTGTACAAATGCACCATCACTAGACAGTGAAAACAGATCAAATACTTGGCTTTGGCAATGGATTTTAAAGGAATATCTAACTTTCTTTCAGCCCAGTTTGATTCCTGTAAGTATGGGCTGGAAGAGTAAAGGCAGTTACTTCGAGTTTTATTGCATCAGCTCTGATATGTACTGCCAGTGAATTCTCAGAAAGATGAAGAATCTTCTGAGAGAGTCTCAGAAAATGAAGAAGGCTTTGTGAAAAGGGAAAATACTAAAGACACAATGTGAGTACAGCACAAAGACAAATAGGTGGTAAGGGGTTTTCGGTTTTGGAGTAAATATTTCATCTAGGCAGTTTCTCATTGAGAGATACTAAATAAGCAGCCAATATACTGCTTATTGTTATTATGAGTGCAAATGTAAAACTGTAGGATCTATTTGATCTTTATAGATTGGCAAATAATAAACATGAATGGAATAGTGGCTGAAAATGAAATTAACATTGTTTTATTTATTTTTATTAATTACAATTTATTCCCTTGGTATCCCAGCTGTAGCCCCCTTCTCCATCCCCTCCCAATCCCACCATCCCTCCCCCTTCTTCTCCATGCCCCTCCTTAAGTCCACTGATAGGGAAGGTCCTCCTCCCCTTCCATCTGACCCTAGTCTATCAGGTCTCATCAGGATTGGCTGCATTGTCTTCCTCTGTGGCCTAGTAAGATTGCTCCCCATTAAGGGACTGACTCTGACAAGAACTCAGTGGCCGGCTCTTTGATCACCAACCCTTGTGGGGTGCAGCCTTGCCAGGCCACAGAGGAAGATGATGCAGCCAGCCTTGATGACACCTGATAGGCTAGGGTCAGATAGAAGGGGGGGGGGAGATCCTCAGCTATCAGAGGACTAGGGAAAGGGCATAGAGAGAAAAGAGGGAGGGTGGGTGGGAGCGGGAGGAAATGAAGGAGGGAGCTTCAGCAGGAATACAAAATGAATAAATTGCAACATATAAATATATAAATAAAATTTAATTTAAAAATTAAAAAAACTTTTTAAAAATAATAACCTTGGCACAAAACTGTAACTAAATATTTCAGTTTTCAGAATTTGTTGATTTTATTATTTATTACTTTGGTCTTTAGCTCATTTTGGTTTGTGTGGGGGAGGGGTTGCTGGTGCATATGTGAGCATGGCTAGATGTAAACATTTAAATACATAAGGAGCCCAGATGTAAACATTGGGCATTGTGACTTAAGAACTGCTAACCTCAATTTTTTTCTCTTTTGTTTTTGTTTTTGAGACAAGATCTACTATTGGCCTGAAACTCATACATTAGCTTAGACTGGAAGGCCAGCTAACCCAGTGATCCTCCTGTATTTGTCTCTTCACTGCTGGAAAAAACACATCTTTTGCCTGGATGCTAACAACCTTGCTTACACATTGGTCTCATGTTTGTGCAATAGCCACTTCACTGTCTCAGTTATCTTCCCAGATCCCACACTTCCTTTGTCCTCTAAAATGCTCACCGGGGGCGTTGCTATCCTGGCAATCTTTTCATTCTCATAATGAGAACAGAATCTTAACATGACTTTCATGGGCATATTTTATAGTCTCTTGATAAAACTTAACTATCTAACTTTTTCCAAACCACATAAAACAACATTTATAGCTGAGTATTGAGCTCTGTAGAAACTAGTCTTCTCTCATAAAGCCAGCAAAAATCATTTCAGCATTTCTGAGTAACTGCTGCTGTCATTTGTAAAACATCCCACGCTGTGCACTTCTGTGGGCATCTAAGCATTAAGTACACAGGTGAAAATAGCCAAAACTTTGTAAGAGTGCTGTGAATGAAGAGTCAAGGGATGATGAGAAGGAATGCAAGAAAAGAGAGAGTTTTATCCTAAGAGGAACCTGTGGAACCACCAAGACTCACTGCATCACAGGCCTGGAAGTAGCTAGAATCTTGCCAATAACCCTGTGCTGTGGCTGGAAAGCTACAGGGGCAACATGAAGAATGAGCAGAACGGCTGTTACAGGGAGCAGTGCACAGGACAGCAAGAAAGGAAGACATCTAGAAAGGCAGAAAACTGGGGATACCGTCTAACTAATGAAATGTCTGTAGTCCCCAAAGCATAGCCTTGTTCCAACAGCGATGACCTTCAGTACAGTACGTCCCCCTGCTCATTTCATTTTCATCTTTGCTCTCTATACCATTTCTTCTTCTCTTTGCAAACCTGCACTCGTTATCTAGGTGATACAAACAATGATGCATCACTAATTATTTAAAATTATTCATAATTTAACTTAATATCAGGTAGCCCTACTATCAATAAAACATATCTGTGGATTTAAACTTCTATACTTGGCCCTGAAGACACATTGCTCTGTGTATTGTCAGAATGTGACTTTTTATTCATTGTCAGTACAATTTAATCATAGTGACTGTAATAAAAGTACTAAGTATATCATGAACACTAATATTCTGTCTCATGTGTGACTTCTCTTGCTGTAAGATCCACTTCCAGTTCTTAAAGTTTTTTTCTTTAATTGATTTAATGGTACTCGCCTTGTGGCTAAATTCCTGATGCGTATTTGTTATTTGGAGACATGACTTCTGCATACTAAGTCTTCTATAATGTCCATAAAACCATTGATGATTGCAATATTAACATCACAATTGACTTTTGTTAAGAACTAGATCAAATCTTAGACCTATGCGGGTTCAGGACCAGCTCTAACAGCACATGTAACCACCTACTTCTCTCTCTCTCTCTTTCTCTCTCTTTGTGTGTGTCCCTCTCTCTTCGTCTCTCCCTCTCTCTTTCTCACTGTCTTCTAATCTCATTTCTCTGTATGTCTGAATGCTCTCATAGAAGATAAACTCAAAATAGTTATATAAATGCCAGAGCCTACTCCATATGGATATGTACCATTTCTCAGTAATATGCTTTCCTCTTTGAAGAATACCACTTATAACATGAAATGCTACAGTGGGTATTTTCCATGTTATACCAATGTAAGTTAAGGTTTTGGAAGGCCATGCTTATTATGTTAAAATGAGCAAGTCAGACACTAAATACAAGCTAAACATGGCCTCACCCATCCATGAAATAAAAAGTAAATGATCTCTTAGAAATTGTCAGAAACATATTGATCCCAGATGCAAGATACAAACAAAAGTAGGGAGATACCTGAAAGTGCTAAGTGGACACTGAGAGAGCATAAAAATGCTTGTGTGCTTTACATCAAAGGGGGAGAATGAGGACAGTGGTTATGCACTACATATTTCAGAAGTTTAAAAAAGGATTTTCAGCATGCTCACACAAATGAAGTATTTAGAAATTGCCTAAAAGCCCTTCAACTGATGAACAGATAATGAAAATGACCTTCACATATAAAACAACTGTCAAAAAAAATCCCTAAAATTGT